CCCCCCCAAGCAACAGCTTTTAAAAAGCTTGTCTATATTTCAATGCAAAATCCAAATGGCTAAATGACAAACGTACAATTTCAGGGCAAGAGCAAAACACAGGCATTATCATATACAGAAATTGAAAACATTAAATGTAATTTGAAATTGAACATAAATTTTAGAAAATTAAAATAAACAGACCCCCCCCAAAAAGAAAACCTTCTTCAAATCAAGAAGTTAAAGGGAAGAGCACAATTTTCTATGTTAACTGTGGTTCCTTAGAATCAAATTCTTTTTCCTTTTTCGAAAGTGTGGTTGAGGCTAGCATTAATACAATGTAGATCAATGTACTGCCATTGCCCATAGTGTGATTTCCTAGCCAGCAGGTGTTAAAGTGACACCTCAGTTAGTCAAGAGAAAAATCTCTTTGATGGCATAAATGTTTTTTTTTTTTTTTTTTTTTTTTAAATTTCCAAACCTTTGTAGGGTTAAAAAAAATTGTTAGTTGTCAAGAGGTTTCGATATTAAATTATTTCAGATACTGGATATGTGGATTTAAGACTTTGTACTGTACAACAAAAAGCAAGAGAAATGATTAACGTAACAAAAAATGTGAAATTCAGTGTGCTGTGGTCTGCGTAACCAATATGCATTCTTGGAATGCTTCTAATGCCCAAGTGAGAACTGTCACAAATATTTATACTGGCGGAAGTACCTGATGCCAATTAAGTATTAAGCCAATTAAGTAAAGGAAACCTTTGAATTTCAATGTGACATCCCCAAACCTCCAGATTCGTAGCTTATCATGATAGCTGGTTTTAAATTATGCCATGCATTTTTAAGAAACTTTGCAATGCTCCACATATAAGATTTTAAATTAAAACATTTCTAGAACTTTTGGCTTCTGCCCCCCCCCAAGCAACAGCTTTTAAAAAGCTTGTCTATATTTCAATGCAAAATAAATCCAAATGGCTAAATGACAAAGTACAATTCAGGCAAGAGCAAAACACAGGCATTAGCTTACAAATTGAAAACTTAAATGTAATTGAATTGAAATAAATTTTAGAAAAGTAAAATAAAAGACCCCCCCCCAAAAAAAGAAAACCTCTTCAATCACACCAGTAAGGGAGAGCACCAAGTTTTATGTAACTGTGGTCTTAGATCAAATTCTTTTCTTTTCGAAATGTGGTGAGGCTAGCATAATACAATGTAGATCATGTACTGCCATTGCCATGTGTGATTCCAGCAGAAGGTGTTAAATGACACCTCAGTAGTCAGGAAAATCTCTTGTGGCATAAATGTTGTTTTTTTTTTTTTTTTTTTTTTTTTTTTTTTTTTCCAACCTTTTAGGGTAAAAAAAAATTGTTAGTTGTAAGAGTTCGATATTAATTATTCAGATACTGATATGGATTTAGACTGTACTGTAAACAAAAAGCAAGAGAAATGATTAACGTAACAAAAATGTGAAATTCAGTGTGCTGTCGGTTCTGAGTAAAAAAATATGCCATTCTTAGGGAACTGCTTATCAGATGCCCAAGTAAGAACACTGTCACAAAATATTATACTGGGGAAGTACTGATGCATAGTTGATGAGAGTAATGCATCTAACACAGAGAGAATGAACTGCTGTAATTTTCTCTAATACGATGCAAAAATACGATTCATAGTCATACACTTTTCACTCTGATGCAATATGGAACCCACATAAAACATTTTGATAGAAAAATTAGCTAATTCTCTCTCATTATATCAGCAACAATGGCACGCAGTTTTTAATGATTTTCGTCTTTCTAATCAAATGGTCATCCAAGGTCATATTTCACCTATATTCAATTTTAGTTGAGTAAATGTGGCAAAACATTTATCATAATTGATCAGAAATCAATAACGCAAACAAAAACACAAACAGACATTCTTCTTTATATGTATAGATTTTGAAAAACTTACAATTTTTTTACTTACAAACTCTATGATTTGAAAGTGAGCAGTAGCAACACTTTTAGAAATAAAGCATTTTTACCTCCAATGTGCGAGACAGTTGTCACTCAGAAAAATGAGTACGAAAATTAGCGCTTTCAGAGTTTTTAATTAATATTCGGCTATTAAGTCATCTAGATCGGAATAGTCGAAAGGATTTCCATGCATTTCTGGAATCGGAATAGGTATTTAATGTGGCAATGCGATTTTTGTTCATCATGAATTTTGAATTTTTTATAATAAATTCTAGGATGGCAAGCAAGCCGTGCAAAAACTTTTGAAATAAAGCGATTTCATCTCAGCTTACGAGACTGTTGCCCATTCGGAAGTGCGGCGAAAATGTGTTTTCCAAGTTTTAACAATATCTCGATTTAGTATTCCCCCCCCTTTTTGTTTTTTGAAAAAAGTTGACGTCGACTTTTAGGACCAGAAAGAAACGTAGAAAGTTTGGTGACATAGCTATAGTAGTGACTGGTATTGGAGGGCAAACAAAAATACTTTCTTCTTTATAATATAGATAGATAACGATATAGATAACGTATCTTTTTCCTCTGACATATAATGGTCAACAATGGCACTAAAACTACATCTGAAAATGATGATCTAAATTCAGATAAATTTAAAAATAGGACATAAGATGAAAAATCAAAGGTCTCCTAATCTTATGGAAAGGATGGCAGCTTTGCATGTGAAAAATATTTTCAAAATGTGCTTTATTTTTATTTAATTATATTCACTTGTTTATTACTTACTTCTTTGCATCCTGGATTATCTTGAAGTTCATAATTACTAGCATGCAGTGGTTGACCAGCATTGACGGGCGTCAAGACTACTTTGTCACCAACCACAACCTAAATAATGATTACCAAAACATGCAGAAATTAATAACAATCATTTTCACTCAAAAGTATAATAATATTTTTAAAATTATATTTTGACAATTGTTTATTTCTACCATCCATTATATTAATTTACTTCTTAACATACTAAACACAATTTTCTTCAAAAATTTGTTTTACATAATTAAATATAACATTACATCCTAAACAATTTTCTCAAATAACAGAAATAAACTGTTAAAATAAAAGTTTTATTTGGCATAATTTCAATAAAATGAAAGAATAAAATTTTAACTTTAATTATAATATAAAGATTTCTTAAAAATAAAAAGGGAAGAAAAGTACGTATTCCGATTACCAACAACTACCCCAGAAAAATTGCAACTATGTGGTTACAGATTTTTTGTTAAATACATGAAAAGAAACAGCAATTTTAAAAATTGCAACACACTGAGAATTATGGAACAATGAATGAATAAAGTTTAAAAACCATAACCATTTGTAGCAAAACACTCTGAAAAAATCCTTATGCAACCTTTTTTTTTTTTTTTTTCACTATTGTTCTCCCAGTGCACACAATGATTTTTTCCCCACTGCTTAAAAAAATCAAAGATTTGGAGTTGTGCACACTATTGTTTGTTCATACATAGTGATCTGTTTTCATTCAAAATAATTAAATAAATAAATCAGAATAGCACAAATTTAGCATCAACAAATAAATTTTCATCCACCAAATTCAATCATTTCACAAAATACAAATTTTTGTGTTCACCAATCTTTGGCGAAATGCCATATTTCTGAAGAAATGAAAGTTTTGTATCAGCTCTCAAATTCCACAGTCCCAGTATGATTCCTTAGCTTAATGGGGGGGGCAAAAAAACCACAAAATGTTGAATTTAAAGGTGGATATCTGAAGATTATTTACAGGGAAAAACAAAAGGACTTAATGCAACACATATTAATGACTTTTGAATTCAAAGGTAGAAATCTATTATGCACAAATCTGTGTTGCAGTAAACCTGTAAATACAGTTTGGCTATATCATGGGTTGCTTTTGCTGGGTCATGGCATGTTGCGTCACAAATAATTTTCAGTGTGTGTGTGTGTGGTGGGCAGGGGTGCAGATAATAAGGAAAAACCCTCCAAAAGGTATTTCAGCTTATAAAACTAATAAAGAAAAATTTTTATATTATGCAAAATATGTGCATAGATTTTCATAAACTATGCGTTGGACAAAATACAAGTTAAAAAAAAAGTATATCAAAACAGCATTTCCCTTTTAAAATGGATGTATTGGCTTAAAAGAATGTAAATATTATCGGAAATTAGTAGTTAGTTAAACATTTAAAAAGGTTAAATTTTTTAATCTGTATTTCTTTAATATCTTATTTCAATAATCACAGACAAAAATGATGTCACAACAACTTCTCCTACTTGATTGGAAAGGCGTTGTCTATAAGGATTTTGTATCCATATGTGAAATAATAAATCAGGATTTTTCTAAGAAAATGTTAGGAAGTTTACAGTGCAGTATTTATCACTCTTGTCCACAGGTCTGTGCTTTATCACACCTGTCTGTATATCTATCTAGGAATTAGTTTTTGATGCATGTTAATGCAAGACCACATAAGTTCAAAAATTCCAACCACAGCTTTTCAAGATAATTAATTGTGTTGCAACATCCACCAAATCTCCGAATGAAATTGCAGCATCAATTCATAAAGCAGTTATTTTAAGGGAATGGAAGTACGCTACTTTTCAAAATTTTTCTAGTAGTAGACAGTGACCTTTCAGTTTATGTTGTAAAACTAAACTAGAACTTATAATGGAATAAAACATTTATATAATGATAATTCCAAGTGTTACTACTTGATAATTGTTAAAGTAGAGTAATACTTTATGACATAACTAATTATGCACTTTCTTTACAGAAAAGAACCATATAAAATCCACAATAAAGACAATGAGGTTTTTAACCCTCTAAGCGGCAAGGCCATATATATACGGCCTGGAATATTTATTGTGATATCTGTAAGAACGTATATATATACGTACATTTTAAGATATGTCAACGAAATTAAGGCAATATATCAAAAGGAAACAAATCCAGGTATGAAATACCAGTAGAGGTTTTACATTAAAATCAAAAAATAATTTGTTCTCATAGTAGTTTTGATAAATTTGTTCTTTCTTAGCAAAACCCCTGGCCGCCCAGAGGGTTAATGGAAATAGTAACAGATTCTGCACTAAGAGGAACAAAATAAATAAAGTACAATAAAAACAAGAATGCAATGAAGATCATGTACAAGATCCTAACGAAGTGATCACAACAAATGTGGTTTTACACATGAATAGGTGATTGATCTTTGGAATATGGTAAGAAATATGGTATGGTAACCTCAAATCTCATTATATTTTCATCATCTATTTGGTATATTCCCAAGTGTTTGCTCAGAAAAGTTGTCAAATTTTTCCCGTTCTGGCAAGATAGTTGTAATCTAGCTTGACAAAGAGGTATGCAATGGTAATCTTGCCTCATATACTAGAATGGAAATGCTATGCATTATAGACTTTCATGCACACAGCCAAATAATACTAAATTAGTGAGAAAGGTTAAGGTGGAAACATGAATAACACTGTAGCATTTGCAAGGTTTACAGCTTACAGTGTAGATGAAAGATTTCCACTTCTTTTTAATAAACAGAAAATACCCCAGTCATTTTAAATAGTGCTCTTCCTGTGCCTTCACCATTCTCATTTACATTCTGAAATAATATTCTTGGAGCCACTCATTACTATTGTCACTTCAATAACATAATGCACTATCTTGAAACATTTAATTCCCATTGTCATATGCACTCTGATGATGCCAAGGAGACATTATGCAATCAATATACATTTGAATAATCTACTAAAAATTTATATCACATTTGCAAAAGCCTATAATACTTTTTTCCTATACTCAGTCGCCATGGTTTATTTTGGATTAAGAGCCGACTGTAAAGCACTTCTTTTAGACAAATGATAAAAACTGCACAACAGTGTTATCAAAGCAGCACTACCACTGGTTGCAATGATTAACAAAAAAATTAAAACATCAACTATTTGGAAAACAATAACTGTGTAATGATGCAATAGCAATTATTAATGCAATAGGCAAATCTGCATAAATATATAATTCAAAAGTTTAAATAATTTCTTAATCTGTACCTCAATTTTTTAACAACATTGTTAATGAACTGCAACTAACACATAAATATATGAATACACAAACACAGGGATTATGAATAGTTAGCTTAGGATTTCTCAACAGCATCAATCTGAGCAGTTTATTTATACTTGGTTCTGATTTGTATATATTCCTACTGTACTGCTATTTTTGAAATGCACAATCATTTCAAAATCTTTTTTAAAAAAAAGTTTTGCATTAGATCTGTTTTGGTTGAGGAAAATTGCAGCTGAAACCATCATTATGCTTTGGAAAACCTTTCAGATAATGCTCTTAGTAAATCACAAGTTACAAAATAGTTTCAAAATTAAAAAATGGAGACATGTTAAATTAAGACTGCTAAAATTTACATATTCATAAATGAGAGAAACATTAACGAAGTACAACAGGCTACTTATAGAAGCTGAAAGACTATTTATTCACCAAATTTCTGGGGGGGGAGGGAACTTCTTCATCTGACAAGAAAATAGTAGTTGTGTCTCTCACACACACTGCTCACCAAATCTTGCTCAGCACGACTTTCTTATGTTCCCCCCCCCTCTAAAGCAATTCAGTGCTGCAGGTAAGGTTAAAAAAGAAGCTCCCTTAGATGAATAATATTTTTAATATTTTGTGTCAAAACTTTCAGAACTGATTCTATATTTTTAGAAGTGAGCAAAACATTGGGAAAAGCATACAGTGTTGGTGGAGAATACTTGCAAAGAGCCTGAAATATGTAAGAGTAAAGTATAATTTTGGTTATTTTTGGATACTCCATCATATATTAAAGCTTCACTTAAAAAAAAAAAAAGGAAAAGAAAATCCCATTATTATGAATACACGTGAAATCTGAAACTAATTACAGGAACCTAAAATACCAACAAATTTTGAGTATACACCTGAATAATCATAAAATTACGTAATAACCGTAAAAATAAATGCAAATTTTTTTCTCTATTTTGCACATTCCAAAGCCAGTGCATACCTTAAGTCTTTATAATTTACTTACTATTTAATAAACGAACAAAAATATAACAATGAATTAGTATAAAAATAAGCAATATAAAATACTTCATATAGCTTACATTATCTCCAGTGGACCTTAATTTATAGAAAGGCACAATGTAGAACCAAGACCCTTCATTACCAGCAGAATCCAAGCAAACTCTCATAGCATTCTTTTCTAGTAGTGCAGGTAGCCTTTTGTTAACAGTCAGATACTTATTACTCTTTAAATGTAGCAACTGGAATTTAAAAATAAAATAAATAAATAAAAATTACAACACTGTCATTTTTTTGAAGAAGACTAAGATTCATTGTTGGAGTAAAACTTAGTAACATTCAACAATAGCAAAAGAGAAAAAGCTAAACAGGTATTTTATAGATGCATATAAATGTGATAAACTTTAGTTATTGATTTTTTGCATAAAACTTCAAGAAGATAACGACAACAAAAGCTGTGGAATTATGATAAAAGAGAAAGTATTAATATCATTACAGATTTTGAAATACCTTTACAAATCACGCTTTATCAAATCCCTAATGATATTCACAACAATAGATTATAATATATTTAATTAAAAAGTTATATATATAATGAAAACATGAAAACTTTTTGAACAAAAGTTAGTAAATTAATTATATCCAGCTGATCAGAAAGTAATGCAGGACAGAGCCAAACCAACTTCATATGGGAGGTAAATATTACTTAAATTATTAATAGATAATCATCATTTTACGAAATTTCTCCCCATTTTTCAAGAAAATTTCCAATTCTTGTTTTGAAGAATTTCTTGAATTTTGTTCCAAAATAATCATTTATTAAATGGAACTCAAACACTGGTATAAAATTAAAACCTTTAAATTTATTTTAAGAGATCTACTGTTATTTACTGTGTACAGTGAGACCTCTCTGCTGTTTCTTCACCAATGAGATGTAGATTTCATTCTGTCAGCATCTTCTATCTCCTTTGATCATTCACTTCTAGGTTTATTTTCAATTCTAATTTAAATTTTGAAACTTTTACATCACCCTTAAATTGACATTTTCCGTTTGAAGGTGGATGTATTCAAAAAGTGAGTCAAAACACTTAATGATGCAGAGACTATGCAGCTCATCATATGACATATATAATAAAACTAATGAGACACTAACTGAGTGAAACTGGGGAAGAAAGGGCATAGTATGAAGATTATAATATTTGTAAAAACTTCAACAACGAAATGCCTTAAAATGATTATTATTTAAATTTTGGCAAGTCAAAATCTTTTACTACTTTTCGAATCTCCCACATATTTAAAAAATTCTGAAATGTGAAGCAATACCTAAAAATAGAGTCACAGAAAATGTTGTATACCTTAATATTAAATTTGAAAGTTAAGAAAAAGATAATGAAAATATGTAACAATCTAATAAAGAATGAAGTAATGAAAACCGTGTTTAATATTCTATTTTTGTGGCTATTAGAAATAAAATGCATAAGTCTGCCTAAAATCCATATCAGATTAGTACACAAAAATTAAAATTCTTTATTTAATAACAACTCTGCTAGTATAACGTAAAAAAAAAAAAAAAAAAAAAAAAAAGATCATACATTTTTAAAGAAGCAAATCCAATTAGCCATCACTCATCATTTTTAGTTTGGAAATCATTTATCAAAATAAAATTAGAAATTAAACAAACAAGGACTTGATATAAATATGTTGCATATAAGAAATGAAGCCTAGCACCAAATATGCTTTATTTTTAGAGGGAAAAAATATTTAAAAATAATTGACAATGTTAGAAACAAAAAAACAGCACTTGCTTATGCTGTACAAAGATTTTGAGAATGTTTAGTTCGCTACATAAGAAAAACATGTAAAGAAAATAAAGATTACAAACCTGCATTACACCACCATATTGTATCACAGTGCCTACTAATTTCTTATTTTCAGATTCATTTTGCTTTTTCTCCAATTCTGCAGCATGCTGGAAAAACATAAAATTAATGGCTCCTTATAATATATATATATATATATATATATATATAATATTAAAAGCACAAGGAAAAGCCGGAACAGTGTTGATGCGTGATTAGACCCATATTGAAGAAGATTTTGATTACGTAGTATGCTAGTAATGCTAACTTGTAATATCTAAGAACTCCCAATCGGCAGTTTTTAATATCCATTTTTATTTTGCAACTGATATTTGTGGCCACATTAACTTGGCACTCTAGTCATCTTCCACGAAGATTTACATTTTTGATATGTTGAGAGAAAAGCAAGCCAGCCAAATTACATCTTAGCACAGTAGAGAGCAAAAGCTGAAGTGCGTATTATGAAAGATGGAAGCACGCGAAGAGAAAGTTTTTGGTTTACAATTCTCATTATTCGTCATCAGAGGCGCGGGGCCTAGAGTGGTCTAAATGACGCAATGCAGAAGTTATTACGATTTTACAATAGAGAGGAGAATTAAGGTTATATTTTATATTATAATTCTGATTCATATAATTTTATCTTGCATATATATATATATTTAATTTGTCACCTTTCCAAAATTAATATCTTTTACTAACTTTAAAATTATCTAATCCTCAGAAATACGATGTGCCCAACATTTGTTAAAATACCATACAAAGAAAAATTGAAAAGATGTTATACACTACTTTCTTTTAAGATTTATTTATATAGGTAGAACATTTTAAAGAACACAGATATTAACACCAAAATGATTTGTTCTTACATGCAATTTCTTTAATAACACAGCATCAGTGGCACTTGTAGCACTCTGTTTTGCAGCTTTCCAAAACTGTTTCTGAGCAGAGTATCGGCTCATGGGACACATCCGGAAAAGACAGTCTATACAACAAAATTTCTGTTTTTATTTTTTTCAAATAAATAATTCTACAAACATGAACTTCAGAAATATATTTTCCAACATATTATACATTACATAAAATACAACAAAATAATGCATTATGTATTATTATTGCATAAATATTAATATTTAAAAATACATGGTACACTGTAGTAACTACTGCATCTGCTACTTCAGCATTATGTCATCAGTCCAAATTTCAACTTAAAATACTTAATACGAATTATCTTGGTGATTCTTTACCAACCCCTGTATAGTGTTGTTGTTGTTATTAATTTTTCTATTTACACATAATCTAGATCAAATTAAAAAATTTTACTGTGGCCAATAAGAAGAGTATAGAACTTATCATCGACAAAAGTTTCAGGCAACTTATTAGTGACAGCATAAATTTACTGAACTGCAAAATCAATTTTGATGGAGAATATCCCAGGAAACATATCAAGGGATCTTGTACCTATCCTTCCTTACTATAAACCTCTTGATGAGATTTTCAGCTTAATGCTATTTCAAGTGCCCTCAAACTACAAAGATATTTTACACTTACATGTATGTCTTCCCTGGGATGATACCATGCCCAATGATGTGGCACCTGCACCTGCTAACCAACCACACCAATTAAGGCACATAGAAGATTTACACAATATGCCAACTGAATTTCAAGATTCCAAAGAAAAAGAAGAACACTTGGTGCTTTCAACCTTTACATAAAGATTTAAGTTATGTAGAAATTTTGGACTACTCTGAAACACACATGGAGAGAAATGAACAAAACTAGCTACTGTTAAATAACAAAGATGAACCAAAAGATTATATTGGTAACAGGTTAAAAAAATACATATAAAGAAAAGTAATTTAGCAGTTTTAATTCAAATGATAAAGAATCAAATTGTCTAAACAAAATACTTCTCAAACTAATTAAAAAGTGACTGTTATTCCATTATGATAAAAAATGGTAATACTTATTTGAAATTACTATTAATATCATTTGTTTATAGATCTAAACAATAATTGGAATAAGTCATGGAATGGAGAAGGAACAAAAACTGTAAAATGTGTGTTGATTTCAAATAAAATTGTTACACATGATTATTTTTTCAATACTTGATGATAAATCAAAAAGGCGAATAATGTAAATAAACAGTTAAAAAGGAAAGCTAGCTTATATAAATTAACAAGGAAAATAATCACCGCTGTTCTAACACATACTGTGAATAGAAAAATACACTCTTAATGAAAACATGATGATAAAAATCTTAAAATTAATCATAACTATTCTATTATAGTGACATGTGGTATGAAAATGTAATTTTGTTTATTTTTTAATCATAATTTTGAAGTACAAATAAACTAAAAGAATATGTTACTTAATGGAATTTTGAATGTTGTTAAACTTATTTGTAATAAAAATTATAAAAAACTTTTTTCATTTTTCAAAAATAATTAATCTAAAAAGAAATACTTTACTAAAATTATTTTCAAAATTCAGATATGCAATAAAAATAATTCAACAGAAAGGATAAGGAAATCATGACAGGATTATAAAGAAATTACACATATACAGCACAAAGTCCAATATATTGAGAATGATTTAATTTCTGAATCTCCAGAGACAAAAACAAATAAATAAATAAAACAATAATAATAATAATCCCCTCTTTGCAAAGTCATGAACAGAGCATATAACACTCAACAAAAGGAATCAGGTGTGCCATCAATGCAGTTTTTCTCTGGTGTGCAGTATATGCAATCTCTAATATAGACTAATATATGCCACTTTGAACATCTGATAACTAGGGAATTGCATTGTGGCCAATGACGTTAATTGACACTGTATTAATGTTGCCATTGATCATACTTTTGATGGGGGATTAACATTTTTTTTATCTAATCTATAATAAAGAAAGCTCAAATATTTAGCATAAACAGATGCCTTTTTGCCAATACAGTACAAGAAAATTTTGTAACTGGAAGAGAAAGGGAACACTACATTGTTTGAAGTATAATGATGTAACAGATTAATATGTTCAGTTGTTTTTTTTCAGCTGCTTACAAATTACAGTGAAACCCTTTCCAAACAGATTTCAGAGTTCCAAATGATTTCAGTTGTTTTTAATGAAAGCAGTCACATTAGAGAATACCACTACTGGCAATGTTCAGCATCAAGCTATCCTCAACAGCACGTCGAAGAAACATTTCTCAGAATTTTTATTTTTGGGATGCTTGGTTGACTTATGTGAAAACCAGTTCTCTGGAAAAATCATACGAGGGACAGAGCTTCACACAAATATTTTTAGTTGTTTCAAAAAGTCCCAGGTGGCAAGACAGGATACAGATTTCAAAGAGAGAGGTTTGAGCTAGGAGCACTCCAGTGGTAAGTGATGGACAAGCTTGTTTCTCAGAAAAGCTTCTTCTAGACTCATCCATTGTTAGATATGATAACCCCATTACAGTGACGATGGCAGTACAAAGTCTGAACTTTGGATGTCCTATAGCTGGAATAATCTATTATCCAGACCTTCCATAAATAAATTTTCTTCTTTTTTTTTCCCCCTCCCATAGTGTAGGAATGGAAAAACAACTAAAGGAAAAGCAAGTATTCAAGCAAAAGCAAATAGGCCATAAATCAATGTTTGTTCTGGTTAGCTGAGCTTTTTCTTCTTTCTTCCCTCTCCCCCCCCAAAGAAAAACATTATCCATGATAGTATTTAATCATCTTGCATGCTGTTTGAGTTTTAAATATCTGCTGCCTAGTGAATCATATTTTAATTTTTGACTCTCAAATGCAGGAGCAGCATTTTTCTATTTTATTCAGCACTGTACACAATAATACAGCCAGGATGACTCATGTTTGGGGTAGAATATTACAAGTATTGGTTTCCTTTTGTTGGCTAACCAAAGAAGTACTGAATGCTTCAAAATGCAAAAATAAAGTAGCTTTTTAAAATCTCAGCAGCTGTAAAACTAGTTTAGAAATCTTAAAATATTTTTGTATAAAATCCAAACATATTACGACAGGTCTGCAGATATTTTTTTAAATGCTTGCACACACATAACTGACATAGGCCAATGGATTTTTTAAATGTGCCACTTAATTTTGGTGTCCATTTCTCAACTTAATTTCTGTCCATATTTCATGCAGCTCAAAGATAAATTCAGAATTTTTTTTTACAAGCCACTCTTTCTATGCATTTTACCAATTACCAAAAATGCATATCTAGAAAGTATGGTCATTTGATTACTAAATAGATTCCTGATCTTATAAAAACATCTTTTTGACAATATGAAGTTATAAAAAGTTCATATGGTTACACTTAAGAAATCCAGGCCAACTACAGTGAAGAAACTGCACTGAAATGTGGGATCTTCTTGAGACATCACACAAATCTACATCTGCTTTCTTTAACACAATGACATGTGGAAAATTTCATTTTTAATGTCAGCATAATTACATATATATATATAATAAAATCTATACTTACCCCGAAATTTTTTTGGTGGAGATGCGAGATCTCCAGCATCTGGTTGAACAACGCATCTGTCATCAACAAGGCTAAAAAAAAAAAAAAAAAACCACCATTAGAAACTGAACAAAAAGGTCATTAAAACTAATCTTTTTCAAGTAAAAAAGGCTAATGAAAAATTACAGTACAGTTCAAAGTCCGTAATCCGGACTCGTCGGGACTTCGGCGATTCCGGATTATAGATCAATTTAAATCTGGTAAGATGGCATGCAGAAATTATACAATTAAAAATATGAAACTGCAATTTACGAAATAAAGAGCAATTATGATATAAAGGGTATAAAAAATTACAAAAAAAAAAAGCTTAATATTTATTTGTTTACTTTAGCAAACATTTCTTTCAATGTAAGTTGTTTAAGTTGCTTCATTTTTTGTGCTAATACTTTCTTTTTAATTCTATAAACAGACATAATTTCTTGTTCAGTTACAAAGTTCCACTGTTCAAGTCCTGTAATTACTGTGTCGAGAATACCGACTAACTTGTAAATCGAAATTTTTTCGTTTTCAATAATGTTCTCTGTTACTTTCTTCATTAACGGAAGCGCGCATGGGTAAACGCTTTACTGGCTTTACGCGCATGAGTAGCGGACGTGTGCTTCCGTTAGTGAAGAACACGTCCGCTGCTCATGCACGTAAAGCAAGCGTTAGGCATTTACACATGCACGTAAGACCTTTATGGCTGCGCATATGCATGTGCGCATGCGCATAATACGTTTAATGTATAAGGGACGGTATAAGGTAAAATTATCTAATTATTTATTTCAGTTAATGTTGCAGATTGTGTTGTTCCTTAAGCTTCGAATTGGATCCCGTTTATTATTTTTTGCAGACTGTTAGAGCAATTTTATAAAAGTAAGCTTGAACTTTCATCACACACTAATTTGAAGAATATGTATGCCCTTAGATGGAACTGGGATTGACATATTTCCTAAAACCATGAGTCACACTCGATTCCTCTTTCTGATGAGATGTCTATGCTTTGACAATATCAATGATATCAAAGTAGAAGAAAAATAGATTAATTGGCTCCTATCAGAGATTTTTTTGAAACATTTGTTACAAATTGTAAAAATGCATATACTGCTGGAGAATTTATCACAACTGATGAAAAAACTGGAACCTTTTCAGGGATGGTGCAGATTCAGGCAGTATATGCCCCAAAAGCCTGCTAAGTACGGCATCAAAATATTTCCACTAGTAGATTCTAGAGTATTTTAGACTTGGAATATGGAGATTCATACTGGCCGATGGACCCTCCAAAACAGACTGTAGTTCGATAGCTATTCTGATGCTGTTGATGACACAGCTTTTCAATTCTGGATGGAACTTGACATCTGACAACTGGTATACAGGATATGAGCTAACACAAGAACTTTTGGAAAATAAAATTACAATGGTTGTAACACTTAGACAAAATAAAAGAGAAATACTGCCTGAATTTTTGGTGGAAAAGGAGCTGTACTCTTCAGTCTTTGGATTTAAAAAAGAAACAACAACTGTTTCATATTCTTCAAAAAAGAACAAGAATGTAGTTATGTTATCCAGAATGCATACGGATGATGATCAGTGGAAATAAAAGCATTAGCAGTATGCACTGTGGAACTGAAAAAAACCAGATATCATCACGTTTTATAATCTTATAAAAGGAGCTGTGGATGTTGTTGACAAAATGATTGCAGCATACACTAGAGTAAGGATATCAAATCACTAGTCAATGGTTATTTTATTTTCCATGTTGAATGTGGCTGCTATAAATGTCAGAATTTGTTGATGTCCATGAAACATCCTCCCACACAGTTAAGAAACAGAAGTTTCTTTTTGAAAACACTGGGACTCGTTCTTTCAGAGCAACACAGAAACTGTCAGCCTGAAAGAAAAACAACTTACCCAAGCACTTCTAAGCAAATGAAAATTGCTAATAGTGAACCGCCTGTAAAAAAACTCAAATTATAAACAATGTGTGTTTTGTCCATGTAATAAGGAGAGAAAAATCAACGTTTATGTGAAAAAAGTCTCTATGTTGAACATCAGTATGTAGTTTGTCAAAATTGTCTTTAAACGTGTAAGTATGCACAATTCACTAAAATTCTGTAATGTACTATTTTGTAATATTTAATTACGTAAGGTTTGCTTATAAACAGTATTAAATGATATTTAAATGGCGGAAATGAACTAGGGTATGAGATACTGGGCGCAAGTTCTCGTGTTAAAAAATTGGTGCGTGTTCTCGCGGTTAAATTATACAGTCAAAAGTCATTAATTCGGACACCCATAATCCGGACCTCAAAGCTAAAAATCTTTCTGCGCATGCGCATAGGCGTTTTACGCATGTGCGCAAGACATTTACGGCTATAAGTATCTTGCGTTGCTATGGCTCAGCCCTTCTTCTAGTTCCTGCTTTCCTGGCACTTGAGTGTGCGGTTTCCAGCCCCTTCAGAAGGATGCATCAGTCCGGTGAATAAAGTTCCTTGGTTCCTGTTCACAAGATGACTGTTCCTGAATAAAGTTCCTTGGTGCCTGTCTGCGGGATGATTGTTTCGGAATGAGTTCCTTTGGTTCATATCCACAAGATTGATTGTTCCAGAATAAAGTTCCTTGGTTCCAGAGATTTCTACCATGTGAGTGACTGCCGTGGGCGGCATCCATGTTCTTCAATGAAGGATGGCATTTAAAATACGTGAGCGGCGATTCCTCGTGTTCAACTAATGCAAACGGAGTTAGGCCGGATTTTAAGTGCTTTCAAGAACTTGATTTAAAATTTCAGGTGTTTTCTCGACCTATTGATCATGGACTTTTTGATGTGTAGCCAACTTCATTTTTAGGCCGCATAATTACTGTTTAGGACATTTTTGTATGTATTGAATGCCAGTGTTTTTGGAGACCAGGTAAAAATATTATTTGATGAATGATCGTTATATTATATTTTTCCTAAGACTCTGATATTGTTTAAATTTATTTTCTGTGTTTTTATTCTTTATTATATTGTTAATAAATTGGTTAAGTTCGAAACCTTTTATTGTCTTCAATGTCTACACAACATATTATCTCAGGAAGCTTTTATTGCTACTATTGCTAAATGTTTAATTTTTTAAACTTTAAACTTTGCTTTAGCATCATTTTGGTTATGGGCCCAGCCCCTGAGTTATTTTTAGTACAGGCTTTTGAAGTTTAAAGTTAAATTTAGGACTTAGGAGATTGGGGGGCAGTTTTTGTTGAAATTCAAATATGGCTACTGTTAGTGTCATGCATAATATTGCTAAACATGAAGCATGTAATTACTTTACATGGTCCAAAGATATGAAGTTTGTTTTAAATGAAAAAAATGCATGGCTTTTGGTCAAGGATATTGAAAAATGTCCTGATTTAAATGATGTTAATGGTATTACAAAAGAAATTATTGCCGACTATCAAAATAGGTCGATTGGCATTATCGTTAATTTATATGAATGTAAGCCCTGGATATAGAAGCTTGATAAGTGAAAGTGATGACCCGGTAGTGGCATGGAATATGCTTGCCAAATACTTTCAGCCAGATTATCAATCAAGACATATGTCCTTGTTCTCAGAGTTCTTAAATTGTAAAATTAAGCCAAATGAAAGTATTAGTTTCTTTTCTTCTAGATTAAAACGTGAAACTGAACAAGTAGCTGATATTAATCAGGCTGTAAGAGACATATATATACGTTTCCAGTTTCTTAGGTTCCTTCCAGATAAATTTGATCAAGTAGTTCAGAATGTTTTGAGGTGGCCAGATGAAAAGTTCATAGTTAAAAATGTTGAACTTGAAATACTAGCAGAGGAAACGTCTTAATTTAAGAGAGATAGATAGGGAAAATTCCAATAAGACTATAGAAGTTTCCAAAGTACTCACTTGTGAACACAAATTTAAGCAGATTAAAGGGCTCAAGTGTTATAAATGTGGCCTGTCCAGGTCATATTCAAAAATACTGTAGAATGAAAGGTAATTTTTCCAGATCACCCTCACCTGCCTGCTTCTTCTGTTTCCTCAGCTGTATCTAGTAGTAATAAAACATCTCCTTAAGTGTAAGAAGTCTAAACCCAAGTTGAGTAAAGGTAGTAAAAATAATTCCCATGCTCAGTCCCTTTTCATAGCTCAAGCTAATGTTAACAACTTGGAGGAAAATGATGATAGTTGGATTTTTGATACTGCTGCATCTCATCATTTTTGTAAAAATCGTGAATTGTTTGATACTTTTTCTCCTGTGAAAGAATGAGAATATGCTAGTAGCTGTTGATGGGGTAACTTTTCCAATTCATGGGAAAGGGTACTGTTAAAATGAAATTTGGGGATACGGTTATTTTGCTTAAAGATGTGTTATACTCACCTGAACTGAGACGAAATTTAATATCTGGACCTAGGGTGGATATCAATGGAGCAAGATTTTATGGTAAAAATGGGCAAATTAAAGTTACTGATGATGAAAATGAAACTTTGTACAAAGCTAAGTTGATAGGAAGTAACTATCATGTATTCCCGAAAATAGTGAAAAAGGGGGGCAAATCTGTAAAATTTGAGGCATCCACAGTTCAGCATAACAATAGTGAATTATAGCATGGTCGGTTTGGTCATATAAATTATGGTGCTATTGTCAGGACTAGTAAGAGACATTCAGTTCGAGGTCTTCCTGTGTTAAAGCACTCACCTAATTTGTTTTGTGAACATTGCCAAATCAATAAGCAAAGACGAATCTCCTATAGACCCTTAGAAGGTATTCAAGTAAAGAGGCCGCTTGAAAGGGTTTTTCTTCTGATGTATGGGGACCTATTAACATTCCAGGTAGGAATAGTGAACGTTATTTCGTTTCCTTTATTGACGAATATTCTCGTTATATGGTAGTGTACCCCACTGTGAGAAAAGTCAGGTGTATTTGAAGTATTTGAAAGGCATATAGCACGTGCGGAAAGATCTTTGAACCTTAGATTGAAATACTTTAGGACTGACAATGGGCGAGAATATGATAATGATCAATTCAGGTCATATTGTAATAAAAATGGTGTAAAGCACGAATTTACAGATGTATATACTCCAGAACAGAATGGAGTTTGCGTGAGAGATTTAATCAGACAGCTCTCAACAATGTACGTGCAATCTTACACGATAGTGGAATGAGTTCCGAATTTTGGTCAGATGCAGTAATGTATTTTGCATATTCATTTAATAGAATTTGTCATAAGGGCCAAGATAGAACCCCATTCGAATTGTACACTAAGCGGAAACCATCAGTACGTCACCTTAAGGCATTTGGAACGATTGCCTATGTGGGAATTCCAAAAGGCTAAAAGAAATTCTAAGCTTGATCCAAAGGCAACGAAAGGGCCGATTGATTGGGTACAGTGTACGAACAAAAGGGTACAAGATTTGGTTGGAAAATGAAGCAAAAGGTAGTAGAAACCCTAAATGCTACTTTTAAAGAGTCAATTGGAATGCAGAGAAGTAGTGGCAGTGGAGCTGCACTGGGCACCCTTCCTGATTTGGAATCTGAAGAAAGGGTTTAGAGTTCCAATCTACTGATACTCCAGTTGGCTATTTTCCTGAAATAGAGGAAAGAATTGATACCAAGTGTACCCTTCTTCTATACCATTGGCACTGACACTCAATCTACATTGAGACAAGTAACTTGGCTTCGTAAACCTGTTCCAAGGCCAGACGGCACTCGTACGGATGTGTATTATTTTGAGAGGGGGTCTAATCAAAGACTACGATCACCAAATGATGTAGAAAGGTATTGCACTGAACATAATATTCAGTATGATCCTACCTTGTTTGATTTCAAGGGAAGCAATACTTATAGTGGTGAAATCGACCCAACTGGCACTCCTTCAACGTCATATACCCGAGATAGCTGACTAGAGGTTTCAATTCCAAACACTTATAACCAAGGCAATGAAATCCACAGAAAAGCTTAAATGGATAGAGGCAATGGAAGAGGAAATGGCCAACATGCGAAAGCATAAGGTATGGCATCTTGTTCCACTTCCTAAAGACAAGACTCCACTAGGTTGCAGGTGGATTTTCAACATTAAACGTGACGAATTTGGAAATTGTTCGTTTTTAAAGCTCGTTTAGTGGCTCAGGGTTATCGGCAAATTAAATACGATACCTATGATGAAACCTACTCTTCCCTGTAGTCAACTTTTCAGTAATAAGGCTCTTTTTCTCCCTTTTAGTTGCACACCTTGGATGGGCAAATATACAAGTGCGACGTAAAAAGTGCCTATCTCTACGCTCCTTTATCAGAGGAAATTTACATGTCCCAACCTCAGGGTTTTGTAGAGCGAGAGAGATAAAGAAACTTTTGTGTGTCGTTTAGATAGAGCCTTGTATGGTTTGCATCAGAGTGGGCGATTATGGTACTACGAGTTAGATAGAACACTATGTAACCTAGGGTTTACCAAGTTTGAGTGGTGTAATTGTGTCTATCGTTTTAAAGATTTTGTCATTCTGTTGGTTTATGTGATGATCATATTAGTTGTGTTTGGAAAAAGTGAAGTTCAGGCCAAAAGGATATTAAAAGTCCTGAGTTCACATTTTGATTTGAAAATTTTAGGTAAAACAAGAAAGCTTTGGGTGTGGAATTTGAATATGAGAACAATAGTGTTTTAATTCCTCAGCAATTATATATAGAAGACATAGTTTGATCGATTTAAGTCTTTAGTTTTAAAATACAAATTACTTCCCTTCCAATAGTTAAAGGTGTGAAATACTCAAAGTCTCAAAGTCCCAGTACACAAAGAAGAAACGACTGACCAAAATGATGAATTATCCTTATAGAAATGTTTTGGGATGTCTCTCGTTCTTTGTAATCGCGTACTCGTCTGGATATAGCTTATGCCGTTAATATATTTTCTCAGTTCCAAAGCAATCCTGGTAAGTTTCACTGGGAAGGATTACTTAAACTTTTAGGGTACGTTTCCAATACCAGACAGCACAAACTTAAACTGGTATGCAAGGAACTGAAGCTCAATATATATTCAGATTTGGATTTTGCTTCAAGCAGGGATGATATGGTGTCTATTGGTGGACAAATAGCTTTGTTGGGAGAATCACCTGTATCTTGGCGTACATTTAAAGAAAGGGGAGTGAGTTTGTCTACTATGGAGGCTGAATTTATCTCCATGACTGAATCAGCAAAAGAATTAGTTTGGTTTAGAAATATCTTGGATGAATGCATTCAGTTTAAGATTGCAAGTAACTATGTTTCGAGGCCAATATTGTTTGCTGATAACATGGCTGCTATATGTTTTACAAAATCACCCATTGAAAACTCAAGGACCAAACATATAGATGTGAAACTATTTTTCATTCGTGATCTATTGAACAGGGAAATTTTTGATTTAAAATATGTTCCAAGTAAAGATAATCTGGCTGATCCCATGACAAAACCACTGACTAAGCATAATCTGATAAGATTTTGTGGAACAATTTTCTTATGAAATTTGTTTTTGTGTGTATTTTAAATTAAGAGTTTTGTTTATATTTGAAACTAATATGTTATAAGTCATATTATGATGGATATTAGGTAAATGTAAAACTGTATAGTGTAGAATGTTGTATGAGTGACCAGGGCCCTGGGTAAAAGTATTGAGTGTGTGATCATATATATGTCTTTGTATTGTTTTGTAACATGTTGGACTTTCTTGCTATGGTAAAATTTTTGAATAATGGGATAAGATGTTCCCAAAGGAAAATTTTTTCTTAAAAATTTCTGAATTGAATGAAACTGTGATATTTATTTATTCTTGTTTTGAATTTTGTAAAGATACTGGCATTCAGTTTTTATTTCAGGTCGGAGATGATGATGTGGGGGGACATTTGTAGGAAAGGAAAATATAACTTATTGTAAACCTTTTACTGCATCATCTCTCCTCCTTGAAATGTTTATTTAGTTTAGTTCTTATTTTAATGTGATAGAGTAGTTACTTCTACTTCTTTTTCTTACTGCCACTGTTTGCGTTGAGAACGAACTGTTTCAACTTAATTGAGATGCAAAAATGAAACGTGATGTTACGTCATTTGGAAAGCCGATTCGTGCCGATAGCTGATTGGTTGCCGTGAGATGACGTCATGCCTACTTCTGCTATAAGTATCTAGCGTCGCTGTGGTTCAGCCCTTCTTCTAGTTCCTGCTTTCCTGGCACATGAGTGTGCGGTTTCCAGCCCCTTCAGAAGGATGCATGCAGTCCGGTGAATAAAGTTCCTTGGTTCCTGTTCACAAGATGACTGTTCCTGAATAAAGTTCCTTGGTTCCTGTATACAAGATGGTTGTTCCAGAATGAGTTCTTTGGTTCATATCCACAAGACGATTGTTCCAGAATGAGTTCCTTGGTTCCAGAGACTACCATGTGAGTGACTGCTGTGGGCGGCATCCATGTTCTTCAATGAAGGTGGCATTTAAAATACGTGAGCGGCGATTCCTCGTGTTCAACTAATGCAAATGAAGTTAGGCCGGTTTTGAGTGCTTTCAAGAACTTGATTTAAATTTCAGGTGTTTTCTCGACCATTGATCATGGACTTTTTGAATGTGTAGCCAACTTCATTTTTAGGCCGCATAATTACTGTTTAGGACATTTTTGTTTGTATTGAATGCCAGTGTTTTTGGAGACCAGGTAAAAATATTATTTGATGAATGATGGTTATATTATATTTTCCCTAAGACTCTGATATTGTTAAATTTATTTTCTGTGTTTTTATTCTTTATTATATTGTTAATAAATTGGTTAAGTTCGAAACCTTTTATTGTCTTCAATCTCTGCACAACATATTATCTCAGGGAGCTTTTATTGCTACTATTGCTAAATGTTTAATGTTTTAAACTTTGCTTTAGCATCATTTTCGCGTGCGCGTTTAATGTATAACGGACGGTATAAGCTAAAATTATTTAATTATCTATTTCAGTTAATGTTGATGATTGCGTTGTTCTTTAATCTTCGAATTGGATCTGGCTTATTATTTTTTGCAGACTGTAAGAGCAATTTTATAAAAGTAAGCTTGAACTTTCGATTATGTCAAATAGAATTTCCGATGCTGGACCTCCCAAAGGATCTAGAAAACGAAAGTATATTTCGATGTCCATCAAACAAAAAACGAATTGCTACAAAAAATGGATAAAGGCATATCCTTTGTTTATTTAACCGTTCCGAAATCTATTTATCAATTTCATGCTGCTCTGTGGGGGGGGGACATCGCGGCGCACAATGAACTGGAAGTTGATCTGTCAGCACTATCGTTATCTTCAGGGCAGATGTTTTTATTTTTTTCAGCTTATAATTCCTTACTAAATGTAGTATTTAATCTTGATGTACTCTGTCTTTGATATGATTTAAATCAAATTCCTCGTCATTATAAATATCACGAATACAAATCAAATAGTTTTCTGGTTGCAATTTTCTAATTTCGGCTATGCGTGAGGTATGCTTTACGCATGCGCATGTTGAAAGAAATGTTTAATAAAGTAAACAAATAAATATTAAGCTTCTTTTTTTGTAAATTTTGATACCCTTTAGATCATAATTGCTCATTATTTTATAAATTACGGTTTCATATTTTTAATTTTATAATTTCTGCATGCCATCTTACCAGATTTAAACTGATGATCTATAACCCGGAAAAATCGATAATCCGGAATCGCTGAAGTCCCGACGAGTCCGGATTAAAGACTTTTGACTGTATTTACATTTTCCACTTCTGCTGTTTAATTTTTATCTTTTCATTTTTAGTTCATTCTTACTGGATTTTATAATTTACATTTTTTATGATATCAGTTTTCTTATTTTTAGATTTACATGACATATGGTGACGTTAATATTTGCACCACAAGCATAGATTTGGCCCAACATTATCTAATAGAAAAATACTATAAATACAAAAATAATTGTTTCGGAAAAAAATATTTAAAAAATTGACAAAACTCACCCTAAAGTACTTAAAAAGCCACACACATTTCCTTCTGCATAGAGGGAGACAATGTCCCCGATATGTAAAAAGCTTGCTGATCCCATATCGGCCATTGCATTTCAGCTGCAAATTAACAGCCTACTCTGCCCTCCAATGAGCCTGTAAGAATATAACACACAATTTTATTCATAATATTTATCCATCTATCCATATCCACAGCTAACTTAAATTGGATAAATATGACGGCTAATAAGGTTAAATTATCTGTATGCACTGCATGTTGAATTACACAGACCATACTCAGGATTGATGTTATGTTGCTGAAATAACACATTTACCAACTGATAGGGAATTAAATTAATACATGATCATATTGATACACTTATAACTTGCCCAAGATGTCTGAAATAAACACCAAATCTGACAGCATATAACTTGTTTTTTATAGAAAAAAGTTTTAAATCATGTATGTGGTATCATATGCATTATGAAAAAGATAACAGTCTTCATCATCATTACGCCTCAGAAGCTTTAAACACAACAGTATGGCATCTGACCCTCTGATCAGAATTTGGATGAAATCATGACAGCCATCTTAATATTACATTATTAAGTGTATATGATGTAATGAGGTGCCAATGGTAAACTTGCTATTGCCATATATGCTTTGATCCTCTTTCCAGGTGGCAATTCAAGATTGTTATCTTATACCTGGAGCTCTTGTGACAAAAATATTTTCAACTGCATTTCAAAGGTCACTCTCTCAGCTAAAGCATATTACTCCCTGCATTTTATTTGTTTACTTAATTTGCCTTAAAATACTTCTACCAATCTCCCTATATTTTATATATATATATATACATATATTTTGCTGTCAACATTTATAAACCGTATATAGCCACTGCTTTATATGGGTAACTAATAGAAAAACCACACAGTATTTTAACATACCCAACGTGAATCTTCTAAAACCTGTCATTTGGGTACAAGACAAAAAATTTACCTTTTGGTATATTTTAGCATAATTATCTTATAGCATGATGATTGTTTTATACACAATAAATGTTCCAAAAATACAATACATATTGTACTGCCTTCTGACTCATAAACTTTTAAAGATCTTTGAAACTTTACAAGCCTGCTTTTTTCCCCTGGTTACTACACTGATTATCATAAATTAAGGAAAAATCACAAAAATAGCGATAACTCCCTCAAAAATAAGCCAAACCATGTAAAATTTGAATATGTTGCCAAGTAAGAGTAGCTGAGTAAAACTCCAATATGCAAATTAGTGGCGCTGTACTCAGAATATGTCATCTGCGAGGAGCATAAAAGTCCATGTTTGAGAGCAAGCCCACATATTTCACTGTGACAGTGACATCAGAAATCTGAGATAGCCTATTCGTAAAAATGACCTCCAGGCATCATTTGCTTGTAGAACTGCGATGGAGAGCCATTGGGAGACTAGAGGCAGGACAAATTCAAACAGAAGTGGCCAGATGGCTAAATGCGAGTCCTTCTGTGGTTCATAGACTTTGGAGGCAATTTCAAACCACATATTTGGCATCTAGGAGGTTCAGCCAAGGATGGCCAACTGCTACGACGAGCGCTGATGACCAATATTTGACATTATGTGCACTCAGGAATAGAACCGCTACTCCAACTCTTCTTAGATCCTCCCTTGCTGCAGCCACCGGAAAGTTAATGTCAACGTCAACCGTGCGTAGAAGGCTTCACGAAGGTGGTCTGTAAGGCGAACAACCATTTGTGTGCTGCTCCCATTACACCACAAGAGGGACCGTTTGCAGTGGGCGCGAGAACATGTCCACTGGACGCCTGAGCAATGGAGGGCTATTCTCTTTATGGATGAGTCCAGGTTTAGTCTAGAACACGACAGTAGGCATTATTTGATATGGAGAGAACGTGGAACCTGTTATCATCTGTCAAACATCCGTGAAAGAGACGTACACGGAAGAGGCAGTGTCTGTGTTTGAAGCGGCATCTCTTTGGGTGGACGCACAGAACTCCGTGTTTTTCCAAGGGGAACCGTGAATGCTCATGTTTATAGAGACGACATTCTTGATGCTTATGTGCGCCCATATGATGGGGCAATAGGTGATGCTTTCCTGTTACAGGACGACAATGCAAGACCACACAGGGCTCGCATCGTATATGATTATCTTCAACAGGAAACAATTATGAGCATGGAGTGGCCAGCTCGATCCTCGGACTTGAATCCTATCGAGCACATTTGGGATGCTTTAGGGAGACGTCTACATGCTCTCAATCTGCCTCCTCAGACCTTTGCCGCACTCCCAACTGCTTTGCAAGAGCAATGGCTCTCGCTTCCTATGGAACTTATACACCGCATAATTGAAAGCATCACACATCGCTGAATGTGCTGTATTGCTTCTAGAGGCGATCATATTCCATATTGAAGGTACTTTTACTATAGCACACTGACATCTTCAATTTGTTCATTTTAGTCATATGTTAATTTCTATATTACCATAATTGTCTGGTAATTTCTTTTTATGTTACTTGATACCTTACTATGTGTTGTATATTGTGGGTAAGTTTCATAAAATTCTACATGTAACTTTTTCAGTAATCATGATTTTTCCTTAATTTATGATAACCAGTGTATATACTGAATTTCTGCGTCTACATTTATTTTTCTTGGAATTCTATTTTTAATTTATTTAAGTTTATATTGTTTGGTATATACAGAAATATTCTAAGCATCTGAGACCTCCCCCCTCCCCAAAAAAACCTTTTTCAAAAGTTTATGTGCCCAGTATAAAAAATAAAAACGATTTTTATTTGTGATTAATAAATAATGTTAATGATTATACTGCATAAAATTGATTAACTGTATATTCACCACTTCAAATTCTCCATAAAAAGAAAAGCTTTTTTATTTACAAAAATGACAAAAAGAAATTTTATACAAACTTCAAGAAGGAAAAAATAATAACAGCAACCATTTATACTTGTGAAACATATGAAAAATGAATTTATGCAGGAAAAATTGTTATTTCTTTTATTAACTTATATTAATCACGAGCATAATCCTACAGTCATCATCATCTTAAAAAAGGTGTTCATTTATTTTCTTTTTATCTACAGCTACAGCATCATCATATTGATCCCAATCAGTATCTGAATTACTCAGATCTTCACATTTGGAAATTGTCCTTCTACAAAGAATCTTCTGCTTCTCTATCTAAAAGTTGACTCTTATGCTTTCAAAGTTTAAAAGCTTGGATGTTTAGTAATAAAGAGAAGTGGGTTTATAAGCTAGGTATACTTTAAAATACTGATTATTCAGTTAAAATCTTAAGGCCAACTTACATGATGTGTTAAGCATTATGTAAAAAAAAGCAGTTATCCTATGGAAAATTTGGAGGTTTTTTAACACTGAATGCATATATTTATTAAAATCGTGGCTATCAGTAAACAGTACCACTTCTAAGAAGTTGTGTTAAAAAGCAGGACTACAATATTAATCATACGAAATGGCCCAGCAGATTCTACAGAATAAACCCAATCAAAGATAAATGGGAAAGCCACTGGAAGATGTGTTATTACTAGAAATCTTTCTATAAATAAATAGGTGGTCATTCCTATAGTTTGAAAGAAAAGGTCCAATTTAATTTCAAGAACTCTCAGATCACTTGATCATGTGATATGAAAATGCTAATGGCTTAATAGCAATGTCATACATCCAATGTGATAATAATATCAAAAAAATTTTGAAAAAAATTCAGAAAAAAGCATAAAGGGAATTTTTCAGAAAGATTGACACATACCAGAATATTCTGTAGTAATAGCTAAGGAGAAGTCTTATAAATGGAGGGGGCAAAAAAAAAAAAAAAAAAAAAGAAATTAAAAAAAAAAAGGAAAAGGAAAATAAGACAAAGAAAATTAATATATTAGCAGCAGCTTGTCTCATTCTGCTAAACAGTGATTCAAAACCACTGCTTTATAACATTTATCAGCTTATTTAAATTTCAAAATCGAGATATTCAAAAATCACCAAAATGAAAGGTAAAGACACTTTTTAACTTGACATAAAGCATACATTTGCTTCACTTTAATGTTACTTTTTATTGAAAAAAGGTAATTTTAGCATATAATATTTGTCTGAAAAATTGAATAAAAATTTTAAAACAAAATTTCTTTTAATCTCACCCAAATGCTGAGAAGTCACTAAACATTGTGATATACTACAACAAAATCCATATCCTAAAATGGTAGAAACTTGTTTTTGATGTAATACAGAGGAATTCAAATGTGATATCGAAAATGTCTACCAATACTTAAAATACAGATTTTGTGACAAATACTACATTGGTATAAATTTTGATGCCTCTACAAAAGACTGCAAAATTCTTAAAAATGAATTTTGTGCATAAAATTCTTAAAATTAAGAGAGTTTTAAAAGATTACAAAAAAATTTGCAAAATTTGGCTGATATGTATGGCTGTTAAATATTTACTGGATTAAATTTAAATATTTTGAGCAGCATGCAGTACGAGGATCGACAGAAAATTGCCAATTTTCTAAAATTACTTTTGTTTCTAACAGTGTAGTTTATGCTTTTAAACTCAAAGCGATCAAAATGCTGATCACGAACACTCTATTCCTTAACAAACTTAATCCCATCACGGATGACGCCATTTTTTAATCATCTTTATGTTTTTGTAAATCTTTTTATTTTAATTTATTCACAATCAAACCTCTCATTAGCAGACATTCACAAAGCAGATTTTTTTTAATCCTACTAGTCCCGTTCACAAGTGAAAACTCAACGAGTCCTGAAAATTGGTTCTTCCAAATGTCCCAGTCAGATGGCAAAGTAGCATCCTCCATGTTAAGTTGAGAATATGTTTCCTTCACTTTATACCTTTTCAAATGAAGGCAGAATGGGGAATTTACCCATTGCATTGCTGAGGTAGCTTTATAATAGGTATTAATAACAAACTGATTTAAATCATATGTCCAACGAAATGTAAGCAAAAGCTTTAGTTCAATAAAAACTTCATGGGACTATCTGAAATAAATAGTTTCTTAACTCCAATTTTTAAACACCATAAACAAGTGAGTGAGTGAGCGCCACCAAGGAAGACCACTGACCTGGCCTTAGCCTCACAGTG